GTCTAGACTAGAGTGAGCCCAAACCCAAGGAAAATGACATCTGCTTTTTCTTGAAAACCCTCTTCTCATTCTGCAATAGCTTGACCCATTCTCCTCTTCTGGAGAATTGAGCTTGTCAGCTCAGGACCGGTCCTCAGTAGAAAAGAAGCCCTAATTGAACACCCCAGCTCCACCACTGCCCAGAAATGGATTAGTCCCAAAAGTGGGGGTTTTCTTACTCCTGAAGAGGAGCTTTCTTGCCTACCTCATCTGATCTGATAATTCAGAGTTGGTTCGGAGCTTGCAAAGTATCTGCCCACGTGCCCCTGATACCACCACTTACTAGTGGCCAAGTACAGCCTAGAACACAGCCCTCCAACCAGGCTGCTGTGTATCTCCTCCCCTTTCCTGGCACTCAGAGCTCTCCTGGGGAGTGAAGTGGCAATTCCCAGCAGAGTTGGCGAGCGTCAGACATGGGGCTGACAAGAATTAGTCAGGTGCTCCACACCTGTGCTACTCTAAGTGTGGACCATGGGCCAGGAGCATTGGTATCATCTGGGAACCTGTTGGAAATGCAGAATCCCAGACCCCATGCCTGACCTGCTCAATAAGACTCTATCCTTGAACAATCCCCCCATGACACTCACAGGAGGCACACCAGAGTCTGAGAAGTGCTGCTTCATAGCAAGAAAAAAGACACCTTCACATTCAGAGTCAAGTTCATTCACGGTGCACTGACTTCATGGCAAGCCTGGTGCTAACGGCACCTTCAGCAGCATTTACTGAGGGACACGTCTACGACCTGACCAAAGAGGACTCATCATCAAGGCTGACAGAATGATCAAGAAACAGAAACTCCAGGGCCCAGTGAGTGCCTGGTGTATCCTGGATGCTACATGGTAGGTTGGTTTTATTTTGTTTCCTTTCTGAAATTCTGACTTCTTTGAAGACTACTGAGCAGTGAAATGGGGGAAAGATGGAGCAACAAAATTACTATTCACCTAAAAATCAAAGGTGCCCTCCCCACTTTTCCATGGTGGTCATGGGGTGTCCACAGGAGTCATGGGTGCAGAAGCATAGCAGATACTTCCCATCAGGGCAAGGACGCAGGGCTGGGAGCAAGTCAGAGCTTGTTATCTGTGCCATCTTCAGGTAGTTCACCCTCTGGGCCTCATCAGCTTCCTTACCTTTAAGTGGAAGTAAAAACAGAACCCATTCCATAGGCCAATTATGAGGATGAGAGGGTACTTATGAAGCCTGGCACACAGTAAACACCCCATCAGTGTGACTGAAGATGTGCAAGATCAGTGCAGCCTAAAACCACTATTGCTCCCAGAACAATCTCCTTCCATGATTGACCTAGATATTGATCCACAGCCAATTAACTTAAAGAGACCAATACACAAAACAGACACTGAGACAAGTTTCACTCTATAAAAAGCACAGTAATTCTGGACATTAGCAAAGGGGTACCCCATCTTTCACTTCAAATTCTAATGCACACTGACTCAGACTAAGAGTCCCAGGGCTTGATCAGCCCTAAGAAATGAAGAACTCAGCTTGCTGTCTTAGTCACATGGCCTCCGATCCTCGGCTCTCGCTCCTGAGCTCACCAGCTGAATGTCTGTCCACCCAGCAAAGCAGCTCTTAAAAGTAGAAACAGCAGCAGTCACTCTGCACCCTCTGCATCCTCACCTTTTGAGGCACAGGTTGTCACTCCTCCCATGATAGCTCCCAAAGGGAAGATCTGATTTCCTTTGCCAGACTTTATTATTCCATTTTCTTATTTTTATGAAAGCAGTGAAATCATATTTTGCCTCCTATCCTAGCTTCATTGTTTTAAGAAAACCATTTAAAATTAATATTGTTCCTGTTGAGAAACCAGCCTCCACCTCTCTTTTCCACATTAGACAAAATAAAAATATAAGAGTGAAATTCAATTGGGCATGCCACACTGAAAAGCATCCTCAAAGCCTTGAAAGTCATAATAAAAAAATCAAGACCAAGAGAACCAAGATGGCGGCATGAGTAGAGCAGTGGAAATCTCCTCCCAAAACCATATATATTTTTGAAAATACAACAAATACAACTAATCCTAAAAGAGAGACCAGAAGACAGGACAATAGCCAGACTACATCCACACCCACGAGAACCCAGCGCCTCGCAAAGTGGGTAAGATACAACCCCCGGCCTGACAGGACCTGAGCACCCATCACCCCAGCTCCCAGTGGGAGGAGAGGAGTCGGAGCGGGGAGGGAGAGGGAGCCCAGGACTGCTAATCACCCAGCCCTAGCCATCCTCACCGGGGCGCAGACACACAGTGCATGTGTGGGGTGCTGGAAACTAGGGAAACAGAACAGTAAGACCTGTGAGCAGGTCCCCGCAGCCGGTGCACCCGGGACAAAGAAAAGCGAGTGCTTTTTGAAAGTCTTAAACGGACAGGGACCCTAAAGCTGGATGGAAGAGTCCTGGGACACTTAGCCCAGCAGCTGCGAATCCTGGGGAACTCTGGGCACCCAAACCCCCGCAGCACAGCTCGGAGGCCCCTCACTGTGATAAACTGCCTCCCGCCTGGTCCCCCTCCGAAGCGGCTCCACCGTATCGGAGCAGCAGCCTGAGGCTGGCCACGCCCACAGCAACTGCAGAGCTAAATAAACTCCATAGCAGCTGGGCAAGATCAGAAGCCCTGTCTGCACGCAGCTGCCCAGCACAAGCTGCTAGAGGCCACTGTTCTCCTAGGAGAGGAAGGCCATAAACAGGCAAGAAGGGACTTTCTCTTACCCAACACACGCGCCAACTCCCCACAAATATATCTATCGCCATGAAAAGGCAGAAGAAATTGATACAGACCAAGATCAAAGAGGCAAGCCCTGAGAAGGAGATAGGCCTAACCAGTCTTCCTGAAAAAGAATTAAAAATAAAGCTCATAACCATGCTGATGGAGCTGCATAGAAATATGCAAGAGCTAAGGGATGAAGTCCAGAGGGAGATTACAGACATCCGGAGGGAGATTATAGAAATGAAACAATCTCTGGAAGGATTTATAAACAGAATGGATAAGATGCAAGAGGCCATTGATGGAATAGAAACCAGAGAACAGGAACGCATAGAAGCTGATGCAGAGAGAGAAAAAAGGATCTCCAGGAATGAAACAATACTAAGAGAACTGTGTGACCAATCCAAAGGGAACAATATCCACATTATAGGGGTACCAGAAGAAGAAGAGAGAGAAAAAGGAATAGAAAGAGTATTTGAAGAAATAATTGCTGAAAACTTCCCCAAACTGGGGGAGGAGATAATCGATCAGACTGGAAGTGTACAGAACTCCCAACAGAAAGGACCCAAGGAGGACAACACCAAGACATATAATTAAAATGGCAAAGATCAAGGAAGGATAAGGACAGAGTTTAAGGTCAGCTAGAGAGAGGAAAAAGGTCACCTGAAAAGGAAAACCCATCAGGCTATCATCAGACTTCTAACAGAAACCTTACAAGCCAGAAGAGAATGGCATGATATATTTGATGCAATGAAAGAGAAGGGCCTTGAGCCAAGAATACTGTATCCAGCACGACTATCATTTAAATATGAAGGAGTGATTAAAAAATTCCCAGACCAGCAAAAGTTGAGGGAATTTGCCTCCCATAAACCACCTCTACAGGGTATTTTAGAGGGACTGCTCTAGATGGGAGCACTTCTAAGACTAAATAGATGTCACCAGAGAAAATAAAATCACAGCAAAGAAAGCAGACCAACCAAATACTAACTAAAGGCAAAAAATAAAATCAACTACCCACAAAAGCAGTTAAAGGAAGCACAGAAGAGCACAGAATAAAACAACCAACATATAAAGAACATATAAAGGAGGAGGAGGAATAAGAAGGGAGAAAAATAAAGAATGATCAGACAGTGTTTAAAATAGCTCAATAAGTGAGTTAAGTTAGACAGTAAGATAATAAAGAAGCTAACCTTAAACCTTTGGCAATCACGAATCTAAAGCCTGCAATGGCAATAAGTACATATCTTTCAATAATCACCCTAAATGTAAATGGACTGAATGCACCAATAAAAAGACACAGAGTAATAGAATGGATAAAAAAGCAAGACCCATCTATATGCTGCTTACAAGAAACTCACCTCAAACCCAAAGACTATAGGAACAAAGGCTGAAGGAACAAAACAGCAGCAGAATCATAGAACCTAAGAATGGACTAACAGTTACCAAAGGGAAAGGGACTGGGGAGAAAGGGAGGGAAGGGAGGGATAAGGGTGGGGAAAAAGAAAGCGGGCACTACGATTAGCATGTATAATGTGGGGGAGGGCATGGGGAGGGCTGTGCAACACAGAGAAGACATGTAGTGATTCTACAGCATCTTACTATGCAGATGGACAGTACTGTAATGGGGTTTGTGGGGGGGATTTGGTGAAGGGGGGACCCGAGTAAACATAGTAATCTTCATGTAGTTGTAGATTAATGACAACAAAATAAAAAAAAAAATCAAGACCAAATCAATTACAGCACTGGATTCAAGTGGATTTTGTTTTTCTTCCCCAGTAACTGAACCCACAGAACTTACGGTGGGTTCAAAATGTTCAAGTATTTCTGGAGTTTGGGGGAGGACATTCTCTGTATAGCCTTTAAAAACAATCAGTGTGTTTTCTGGCCATGTTTTCAGATTATATAGTATTTCAGATTAATAGTATTAAGCTTTCATGAGCTGCATCATCTGGGAGTGCACCTCTTCGGAGGACATGTTTTCCTGCTGAGTATAATCCAATAAATTAAAGGAGGGAAAGGTTGTAAGATAACACCCAGCTTGCACAGTCAGGTGTGGACAGTCCCAGGAACTGTGAGCTTCTCACTGGTGGTCTAACATCCCGCTCTGCCTGTCAGAGGACAGCAGCCCTGGGAACATCATGCAGATTTCAAACACACTCCTCACCTCTTCGTCCCACTTCCCCTTCTCCTCAGTCCAATACACATTATTGAATGCTAAGCTAACTGTCCACCCTCAAAGCCTTACCTGTCGGTTTTCTTGATCAGGATGGCCCTGAAGATGTGCTCCAGGGGTGACTTCTCCCGCTCATGGGTCGGCTGCACGAAGGGGTGCAGGGCCACCAATGAGAAGCCCTGCTGGTAGAGCTCCAGGAGCTGGGCAGGCAGGTCACGCAAAGAGGCCAGTCTCACTGCTGAGGACCTCGGGAGCTCGGCTGGGAGTGGACAGAGAAGAGGCTGTTAGAGACCACCCAGACTGCCCCCTGCCCCACCCCTGCCCCCTCCCTGTGCCCGGGGAGATGGCGCTAGGTCACCTCCTGCTAACGTGGGTTTGTTCTTGTCTTAACTGCTGTCTGCAAAGAGAACTTAGAAGCAGCAGGTCACTTTCCAACTCATCAGAAGGCACTGGTAATTGGGTATTTTAAGTCTAGAGTCAATCTGCTCAGAGATTACATGGAAAAGTCATCTCCATTCCCTCAAAAAGTAAAAAAGAAGAAAAGGAGGAGGAGGAGGAGGCAATGATGGATGGTATGCAAATACAAAACTGCCAGGCGGCAGAAGCATCATCATCAAAGTCAGAAGACAAACTGGAACAAAATGTGTGCAACACTTAAGACAAAGGTGTAGTGTCCTTAATTTGCAAAGGAATTATTCAGAAAAAAAATAGAAAAATGGGCAAAATATATGAATGGGCAATTGCCTAAACAATATAAAAACCTAATAATATTTGAAAAGAAACTTCAATTAATTCAACACTAAAACTATGCATATCAAAACAAAGATATTTTTCACCTATTCAATTATTTTAAAATTTAGATTTAAAAATAGTTTGAGAAAGGCAGACATGATTCAAAAGGTGCAAGTGTACACACAGCAATGTTTACATGCAGCTCCCCATGCTTTTTCCCTTTTCCCTAGAGGCCATTATCCACACATTAACAATTGCTGATGTCACATACAAGTAAAAAAGTGCACGTATCTCCCTCCTATTTCACACAAATGGTAGTGTAACCTTATGCACCTGGCTTTTTTCTAATGATTAACAGCATATTTTGTCAGAGACCATTCCATGGCAGCACACAAAGTTCCTCCTCATTCTTCTTATAGGTGTACAGTGTTTCATTGTATGATGTACCATAGATTACTCAAGCTTTAGCAACCTGAATGTCCATCAGTAGATGAATGGATAAACAAGATGTGGTACATATACACAATGGAATACTACTCAGCCATAAGAAGAGGGCAAATCCTACCATTTGCAGCAACATGGATGGAGCTGGAGGGTATTATGCTCAGTGAAATAAGCCAAGCAGAGAAAGAGAAATACCAAATGATTTCACTCATCTGTGGAGTATAAGAACAAAGG